TTATATGTTCTACTTAAACAGAAAAATACTTCATATGTGAATTGCGTACCATGGATCAGAATTCTGAACAACTTTATACGGGCTTCAGTATTTGTTGTATACCTGAAGGAGAACAAAGAGTACCTTGCTGGGAGATTGTTGAAGATTTGCATAACAGTAAGGTTTATTATCTCTATGTCATATTTGAATCAGGGCAAAATTTTATTAGACAGGCAGCCAAGTCTGGTAGCATCTGAAAATTATGTGGTTCACATCTCAGAACCAATCATCAAAAAATTCTTTTCATTTAATTCTTGGACTTCAGCATAAAACAGCAGCATCAGATGTACTTGGAACATATGCAAACAGCTAGTAAAAGCAAAGGTTTGCTCTGGCTGATTGTTTGAAAATCTATAATCCTGGTAGGATAAGTTACTTCTTCCCAGATTGGAAGTTGGATTCTCAATTGTAAACTGAAACTTTTTATTTGCTGTAGTTCATGCATATGTTAGAAACATTGGAAGTTGGATTCTCAATTGTAAACTGAAACTTTTTATTTGCTGTAGTTCATGCATATGTTAGAAACTTTTATCTCAAAAAGGATGAAGATAAACTGAAACTTTTTATTTGCTGTAGTTCATGCATATGTTAGAAACTTTTATCTCAAAAAGGATGAAGGTTGATTGGCCATTGTATTAAACAGATTTTTAAATTTCTTTTATCTGCATCATACAAATATTCATGGTATTGTTTTCTTGTAGATTGTGCAAAGCGTGACCCAGAGGTGAGCGAAGATATGGAGAAGAACTTCACAGATCTTCTTGCTGAAGAACTGAAGTTAAAGGAAGCAGAGGCTGCAGAAGCCCAACGGCGTGCTGATGTGACATTGCTTGAGGCCAAGAAGTTGGCATCTCAGTATCAAAAGGAGGCTGATAAGTGCAGCTCATATGAATACCTAGTGAAGAAGCAAAGGGAAAGAGCAGAGGCTGACATATGCTAGAGCAGAAAAAACTCTCTGCAACTTGGGAAATGAGGGCTCGCCAACGAGGATGGAAACCAAATGCTAAATCACATTCTTCCTGAGAAAGATGGTTAAATGATTATTGCATGCTACCAGGTGCTGGTGTGTGTTGAATGCATTATTGTTGGAGGAATCTAGTAGAGTTCTTATCATTGTTGCTCCTCCAAGAGGGTACCATTGACTAAGTGGCTTTACTCAAAGTGGAAATTTGCATCCTCTCTTGTTTTGTTATATTAGAGCAACAATTTACTATCTGGTCTTTAAATACAAGTTTGAGTTTCACTGTGCATAATTTCTGTAACAGACCATTACGTTATTGTATTGATTGTATTACAATATATAAGCTTGTCTAATTGAAGGCAGTGGAAAAGTTTCTCATTCAATATATAATATACTTGTTCTCTTCATGTTATAAGGAACTGGTGTCTTTCTTCAAGTTTGGAGTTCATTCATATATATATTCTGATCCACGATTCCTTATGTACAGATTGCCAGAATTTCTTGCTGTTTTTTCTTCTCTCGTTAAAGACTTACTGGTGAAGGTCTGGAAGGATTCCCGGAAGCTGCGTAAGCTTTAAGTCTTTTTGCGAGGCTCTACTGTTAATTGCTGGTGTAATGATTTCAATTGCAGCAAGGAAGCAAATTGACCATGTTAAGTCTTCTATGTCAGACAGATTTTTATTCTTCTCCTTGTGGGGGAAAATTCAGGAGAAAACTAAACGTAGAGAAAAGCTAATGTAGCTTGGAACTTACCATCAAGATCTAAACCGACTGCTCGCATTGAGCCCATTTTGCATTGGCTCTACTGCCACAAACTACTATTGCCACCTACTATTTTTTTTCTACTTCATATTCAATTATTATCAGCAAAACTACCCAACAACAGCTCGAAGAGGTTTTATTGATAGACGCGACATGCGGATGCAATTTGGTTCCAGGGAATATCTAGTATATCTTAAGGTACCTCTTGCGTATTTAATTAAGTAGAACAGGTCTCTCTTCCAGTTATGTCCTTCGAGAATGACAGCCTTGCTGAATCAAAATTTGACTGCCTTGGTGTGAATATCAGGATCAATAAGTGGAGCGTGATGTAACATTTTCGCTGGAAAGAAGCGAAAAAGAAGCTGTACTGTCCATGACATACCTAGTGAATATCAATGTCCTAGTTATATATCTCATGTTTTTGGAGGTTTATGTGCAGAAGTAACCTGAATCTGTTGCTTTCACTTCATGGAAAGAAGGACTAGTTCCAAATAAGGAATCCAATCAACTTGCTTCTCTGGACACCAAAGCATAGGCAACAAATTCTGAAAAACCAACTTGCTTCTCCAGATACCAAGGCACAGGTAACAATCTATAAATCTTTGATGATTCAACATGTCTTTAATTTATAAATTCCAAGATCATTTTCTTATTCATTTATTGAGCACTTAAAGCTTTTATTCTTCATTCACTTGTTTCTACATGTTTAGTGAGCACCCACTGAATAGAGACCAACTTTCTGTTAAAAAACAAAAAACTCTTTGAAGTTCAAGACTCAGGATGTCCAGTTGACGTACAATTTGATCAGTTTGCACATACAACCTAATTGCAAGCCATTTTTTGCTCCTACAAACAGATTAACTTACATATAGCCAGGTATAAGATCCTACAGAAGTGCAGGTTAGATATTTATATTCTGATTAATTAGATAAGACCCTGAAGTCAAAATATGATATTGAGAATACCACTGTAGATTATTTTGGGCATGGATTTTATCAACCCTCTTTGCATTCAAGATAAGAGCAGATCTTAAGTCCATATTCAGTTTCAGGCTTTGAGCATGGTATCTGTCTGTAGGTGACTTGAGTTCTTGTATTCAATTACCAAATGATAGAATATAACACCATTGCATTTCACAGGTTTCTACTTTCTAGCACAAGTAATGCATAATTTTTGGGAGTTATGCATTCAACTCTTCGTTTGTACATTTTCTGACACAATCTCGTGTTTCCAGATTATTTAGGTGAGACATTATGATATAGCTAGGAGTTCACGTACATCAAAATAATAAAAAAGATTTAATGAGTAAGATCATGGTTCCTTTAATTTTTGCAATATGTAGAAAAATCTCTGCTACTAATCCATCTTGACGCCAAGTCAAGGAGCACCTCTCCATGTTACTTGACAGATTGTTTTTTTCCTTGTATATCCAGGTTTGTTACTAATTCAGTTTTAACCAACTTCTGGGTACTCGCTAAGGGAATGAGTTTATCTACAAATAACACAAAAAGAAAAGTTTGTACAGAAAATACTCAAAAAATAAAATAAAAAGGTGAATTATGCAATTTCTCAAAAATAAGGCCCCATTGATTAGATGAACTTATCTAACAAGAGGAAAATAAATGCATCTATTTAATCACATGAGAAACAGCATTTAAAGGCACAACTAACGTTGAAGTTGAAATGCCTATTTAAGCTATTTTCTAAGATAAAATGAATGAGAACCCTGGAGATTCATTAGATATATACAAAGGGTCGAAGAAACAGGAGAAGAAGAATATAATCATATCCTTGCCATGCCAGCTATCTTTGGAGGTCCACTCAGTGATCTGGCATATGCCACTGGCAGTGAAACCAGTTTCTTTGCCTTTCCTACATAGGCACGTTTTGTGAAGTTGTTATAATCATTTGCTTCTATAGCATCTAAGATCTGCCGATAAAGAAGCAAGGACGCCAAAACCTGTAAAATGAAAACCCAATGGTCATAGAGTAATATATCAAGTAGCAAGTTCATTAGGAAGCATTATGTGAAAGCCATGAAAATGTCCACAAGTTTTCCTAATTTTATCGTAAGGTTCACGCCAATTTCATTTCTGATATATGTTTGTTTACATTCCGAAATAGTCAACTGAAGTATGAAGAAGGATCTTTGATGTTTGGTGTAGTACTTGCTTGTGATAGCCGATAGGAGAGGTCACATTTTCAGAAAAGGCTAACGTTCATGTTTAGGGAAATTTGAAAAAGAAGGTGAGTCTTTCTATATGAAGCATGAGCTTTGTATTGTATTCCCCCAGCAGCGTCTATAGAACTCCTTATCTATATAAGAACTAGGCGAGTAAATATTATTTCATACCGGCCATCTACTAGCTGAATTTAGCTCTGCAATGCCCTTTTCAGCCTCATCAAAGAACAATCTTGCGCGCTTGATCTGACCCTTCATGAAAGTTCTCCATTTATCAGTCACTTTTCCTTGAAATATGTCTCTCTCTGATAGACCAGCTAGCGCCAGCTCGTCCAGTGGCAGGTATATTCTGCCCCTTTGGGCACTGCATATAATTTAAAAAAAAACATGAAGATCAATACTAGAAGTCTAGAAGGGATGCAACTATTTAACCTGCTATTTTGAAAACTCCTAGATCTGTAATTATGCCATTTTACTTTCCTGCAGAATAATTGGTTATATATGCTTTTCATTTTCTAGCAAAAAGATACCAATGTATTGATTAGTTGGATATTTACTTTCTTAGAAATTTTAATCTGATCAGGCAACCTTTTTTTTAATTTAAAGAGCATTGTAACACTCGAAAAAAACTACTTTGCCACAAAAAAATGTGACAATCTGAAATATTTGATATAACATGTCCGTATTGATTAAAAGAATTTTTGAAAAATGAGTATAACGACAAAGGCAAAAGTAATATGTGCACAAGAGGTTGTAGAGATCACTGGTTCCTTGAATTGGAAAAGAATATAAGATTTTTATTGCATAAATAAATGGAAACTATTGAGTTTCTGTAGAATAGAATGATATGGTTTGAACTTACTCTTCCCCTACATCCCTTAGTATGTTTGTCAGCTGATTAGCAATACCAAGAGCCAAAGAAGAATTATAGACGCTCTCTGTTGAGGCCTTTGAATCCGGGGAAATGCCCATTACAGGAACACTCATTAGCCCCACTGTGCCCGCTACATAATAGCAATATAGGTAGAGCTCATCAAAAGTCTTGTATCTTGATTTTTTAAGATCTAGTCTCATTCCTTCAATCATGTCCCTGAAGGGCTGTATAAAAGAGGGGAAAGTATTCTAGTTAAGACACGTTACTTATTGCAATTTCATTTATGAATGCATCAAATTGATTTCTTATATATTATATATTGATATGCAAATATCAATTACCGATTATACTTTTGTGCTGTCTAGGTTTCTTCTTTGGTATTACCTGAATGTCAATGGGGAATCTTAAGACAGTGTCTGATAGAGCAGCATCATACATATCATATGGACGTCCTTCATATAAATCATCAAGCCTCTTCTCCCACCGATGTAGAGCAATCGGAGTTATTTGCGAAGCATTAGGTCCATCTACAAGCTCATCAGTTCGCCTGCACCACACTGTATATTGACAAACATATGTGAGTATTGTGCACTTATGCTATAGAATAACCAATATATTTATTGAGTAACAGAAATGATTGTACTTGGAGGAAAACCATGGGAAAGAAACTACAAGGAGAAATTCTCCTTGGGTGCAAATACTGTAAATAAGAAAATAAAGAAATATTGCAGCATATTTCTAACAACTATGGAGGATATAGTTTGGGTCTGACCATAAATTCGAGGGTAAATTACTCAATAAATATATGAAGATTCAGGGGTTGAATTTAAACATTCCGAAGCTTTGGAGGATAGCAGTGAAAAATCCAATAAGAAATCATCGAATATCTCTTATCTATTTTAGATATATCATAAATAAAAAAGGAGATACTGATACCCTAGTTGGTTGGTTGTTTTATTAGTATCAAATAGTGAGGCCAAGGCCAAGCAAAAGATAACGTCTTTGTACTTAGTGGTTGAAAATTACTACCATGATTGATTGTCATACCATAACCCTTTCTAGTTAAAACTCATATGGACTTGATCCTGTTCATAACGCAACTGAATCCTAAAACGTACAGATGAGAGGAAATATTCAATTAGTTCGGACTTGCTTAGTCGGAGAGTGCAACTGGAATATAAAATCATTATCCTTTCTTTAACTTTCTTAGTAAGTCTCATATTCCTTCCATAAGAGAGCTTCAAGTGTTAGGTTGCAATACTGATCCGTAGCTTAGATTTTGAAGTCAAATACATTGTAGAAACAGTTGCTAACCCTGAACTACAAAAAATTCGTGAGAGAACCAAAAAGAACAGGAGCCCAGAGTTTGAGTTCATTTTAACAAGCTTCCAGTTCTGTTGCCAGTTTCGCAGTTTATGTATTTATGCATGCTACATACAGCTACAAATTATCAATAACTCATACTTTGAATTGAGCTCTATTGTTTTCGGCTACTGAAAGAATTTCTGAACAGATTGGTGCTTGTATTTCATTTTCACCCTGCCGATATGTTTTGCTTATGATGAATTGTTTAACGGTTATGATTGAGAACGCTGTAGATAGTTGCGTCTATAGAAAAACCACACCCCTTTAAAGAAATAGCCGGACATACCGTAAATTGCCCAAACAGCTCTTCGCCTCTCAGGAGTCATGAGCAATGTTCCTGCAGAACGTAGAAGATAAAGATAACCAATGAAACTGTCGCCTGGCAAAACTCATGCATGCATATGAAAGGAACAGTTTTCGATGCTAAATTTCTCTCCTGATGAGTATCTGCTACTTCCTAAGAATAAATGGCTTCTGCAATTCAGATTCAGGACCAGAAACATACTCGTAGTGTTATACTAAATCTTCTTCCTGTTATAAATCAATCAAGTGTGGGGGGAGTCTGGCTTAAACTCTTGCTGTTTCGGGTATTTAAGTGGCCACTCATAGAAAATACATTGCCACGTATGGGCAATAGTAAACAAGGCAGTTATTAAAATTCTAAATTGACCGCACTCTACGATTATTGTTTGTACTTAAACACTGAAAATCTGTTGAAAACAGTAAATTATCTCCCTCTTAATCCATATTTAAAGATTTAGTCATAGTAGGAGGAAGAAAGCAAAATTTCCTTCCTCTATGCAACCCCAAAATTTTGGGACGAAGATGTTTGTTATTGTTGTTATTGAATACGTACTGTTCCTTTATAGCCATAAGAAGGCTAGCAGAAGTACTGTGTTGCCAAAAGATTACCTTGTGAAAAGAAAGCCAACGATAAACTGAGTCTAAAATCTACACATAAGAGCGAGATCGGTATGGGGAAGTTACCCAAATAAAAGGTCTTGGCATACTCTGCGCAGACCTCTCCGCACCTTTCGTAGGCCTCATCCAACAGATTCCTACTCATCGGAGCTGCAGCCTCCTCCTCTCCGACTCCCTTCTTTCTCTGTTCTTGAACTAAAGAAGCTTGCTTGAGTACCACTTCGGAGACGATCTCTTCAGAAGACCTCCAGGGGCTTGCGACAAAACTCGATGAAACAGTGTAACCATTCGAGTAAACGGGAACGCAGCTCCATTCTCGTTTGCTTTTACTCCAACTCTTCTTCTTCTTCTTATCCTCTACAAACTGATGGAGAACAGAGCTTCTGGTGATTTTAGCTGGCGAGACCAGCCGAAAAATAGAACCAGAGGCCATCTTCCTATCCCTGCTTTCCTAGGCTCTCTCTCTTCTCTTTTCGATGAGAACGAAACCAACTATTTATAAGGGCTCAAGCCTTCAAGATAAAAACACAAGTTCGTGGTATCGTTTCATTTCATTGGTAGCAGTGACCTAAGACCTCGTCCTATTAAGGCTAAATTACCATGCTTAATAATCTCATTCCGTTAGCATCTAGGGAATGAATATTTTGTTGCTTTTGGAGATTTGCTGTACCGAGAAAGGGTAGAAGGCGCTACACTACAAACACTTGAGGCCAGAGCAGGGTGAAAGAAAGACAAGGAATCTTCGTCTTAAGGATCTGAATCATATAATAATGATCTTTTTATTTAAAAACTCTGAAGCCAATTTATCTTATTACTGTTGATCTATTCATGAATCCGTTTGCAGTTGTTTAACCGCTAACATGTTAGTGTTATTTAATATTTCAGACGCTGGCAAATGTTACGTAATCAGCAAATTGGCTAAGTAAACATGCATTATTGAACATCTTTAAAAAAAATTTAGATGCTGGTTGTCTTTTTTAATGGATTGTTACTCACATTTGAATTTAAGGTTGCCACTTGGGAGCACAAACTTCTGGATTGAGAAAGATGATGACTCAAACAAGTTTGTTAAGTAAGTACGCAGCAGAATATTCACAGGTAAATTTTTTTTTTTTTTTGTTCTTTGCGCAAGGATTGTTTGCGTGCTCAGTATCCAGTTCGGGAAAGATGCTTCATATGCTCTTTCGTCGTCGTGCTATCACATAAAGAAACATCAAACATGAGGTACTGAATTTTGGGTCCTTTTCAGTTAAAGTTTAGGTCCTTATTAATTGCTGGAAGTTTTTGATTGCTGGACTACTTTGGTAGAATTTGTCGGGTCCCGTTCCTGACACCGAGCTCGTCTCTCTCTCTGGCAGTTTGCTGGGGTCGTCTCCTTAGTGATTTCTGAGGGAGGGGAGCCATACAATGTGGAGGATAGCATGTGGGGAAAATCTGTGGTGGTCCTATATTCTATTTAGGTTCTAAGGACGGAAGAAGGAAGGACATGGGTTGGCGTCTGGCACAAACCTAAGGGACACGAGATTCGGTTAGCCCCATGCCTGGGTGATTTCAGGAAGGAACTCATACTGATCGTAGCAAAAGAGCACAATATGAGAATTAAGTCTTCTCGTTTCGGCTAAGGGCCCGTTTGGATGGACGCAACTATTAGAAGTAAGAAGTGGATCAAAGATGTAATTTTCTCAATTATGAAGTAGAAAGTAGCGGGAGTAATACTTATTTTGTTTGTTTCATATATTTTTAGAAGTAGCGGAAATAATACTTCGTCATCTTCTTTTATTTATTTGTTTGTTTGGATAGAAATTGGATATATTATTTAAGATCATCTGCCCTTGGTAAATCTCTAATTTAAGTGGACCCTACTTTTTATCCACTTCCCCTCTACTTCTGAGCTTTCAAGGGAGCTAAAAAAAATTAGGAAGTAGGAGTGTCACCTAGACGCCACATCTGCATTTATGGAAGTAGTTGAAATACTCTTTTCGGAGAAACAAGCATAATTTTTTGTTTGAAGTAGGAGAAACTTCCTCTACTTCAGTTATTTCTTTGCTACTTTTAAGCAAACAAACAGGCCCTAAAGGGCACTTAGATACCTTATTGCTTCGCCACGTTTACACTTAAATACCTTAAGTTGTAAAAAACAACGCTTTAATATCTTAAGTTGTAAAAAAATTTGCAGGTTAGTACCTTATGTTAGTTGTCATGGAAATTTTCCCAAGAATATATGCTAACTGTTGGGAATTTAACGCTGAAACCCCTAATGCAACAGAAACGCAGTATAGAAAAAGTACACCAAGATTTAACGAGGTTCGGCAACTGCCTACGTCCTCGGGAGCCACACAGATAATTTCTTATTAATCTCAAACAAGAAATTACAAGTCAAGAGCAAATCCCTAAACTGGGATTTCTCAAATTGAACACTGTAGCTACAGTGTTAATATTAAAGAGAATAATCCCTTTCAAATCTCACTTGAGATTAAATAATAACCCCACAATATAAAACCCCTCTTTTATACTCTCTCTCTCCTTAATCCTTTTCTTAAACTCCCCTCAAACAATTGAGAGCTGGAGTTAAATGACAAAAAATCGCTGCTGCGATTTGGGTCCGACGCCGCCGCTGAAGAAAGCCACGCGAGAGAGAGAGATCAGAGGAGAGAAGCCTCGCTCTGAGGGGGGGTTTCGCTGCTGCCGCCAGAGGGAAAAGGGGGAGTTCTGCACACCGAAACCCTAGGGCACAAAGGGGGTTTTTATAGCCGAACGAGACAGGCTGGCGACAGCTGTCGCCAGCCACGCGAGCATTCAGCTCGACGCGAGGGGTGCGTTCGCTGAGGGTTGCGTTCGCCCGAGGGGTGCGTTCGCTCGAGGGGTGCGTTCGCTCGAGGGGTGCGTTCGTTCGCCAGGGCTCGAGCCCGCCTCCATCTTCGCCTGCGCTCATCCTGGAGCTCGTCGGAGCTCCTCCGCCGGAGGTTGGTATCCACCCCAACTAACATATATAGCTTTGGATTGTCCTAGGGTTTCTTTGGTGCAAACCGAGGGGAAAAATCAAGGGCAAAGGGAAAAGTGCAGGCTGCAGGTACGAAAGTGTAGGGAGAGCTCTCTTTTTCCGGCTGTGATTGTTTTTTTCGGTACAAGTGCAAGTACGGTGCAAAGAGGAAAAGTTGCAGAGGGCTTTGCTGCTTGGCTTGGTGAAAAGACACGGAGGTTTTGTTTGTGCGGCTACAGAGGCTTTTGTGCAGTCTTTTGTTTTCTTTTGTGAGAGAGAGATAATTGTGTGAGGGTTTAGATAGAGTGATTGTAAACCCTAGTTGTATTCTCTCCCTCTAATAGTAGATCTCATCTCTCCCCTCCTTGCCCGTGGGATAGGGGTGTTATCGGAGCGGATACGGGCTCGGATATCGCACTTACCATATCCATATCCGCTTTTTATAAAACGGATACAGGGATACGGATACGGATCATTCTCGGTAAGAATAAAAACCTTAACCGATATCCGCACTTATCGGAAACGATACGGATCGGATTTTGAGAATCGGAGGATACGATCACGGATACAAACGATATTACATTATAATTAGAATTGACAACAGAATAGGTAATTTAATGTGGGTTGTAGGCTTCTCCTTAATCACACATAATTAGATCTCTTCTATGTAATACTGAAGAGGTTGTAGCTTCACCAGTCTCTCACCGTCGGATCTCCTCACTGAGAACCAAATCACGAACGTCGCCGAACTTTAACTTTTTCTTTCCCGACGAGCTACTCAGCTGGGACACTGTAGCGTTCCAACTCTCTGGTAGGGAAGACAA